AGGGCTTAGTTTAATGATTGTTCTATTAATTATTAACTTAATTTTATTTCAATTTGGTTAAATGCTAAATTTGGTCCCTCAACTTTAGTGAGTTTCAAATTTTTGGTCCTTTAATAATTTTTTGCACTTTTTTGATCCCTAAACTTTAAGAAATGTACTCCGTTAGTCCTTTTGTTAATTTCGATCGTTAACTCGCTCATGTGGCATTTTTTATAGTTTTTTTGATGACGTGGCAAAAACAAATTGAAAATGTGTTGACATGGAATTTTTTTTCATGCCAACTCATATGATTACTATTTATATTTTTAAAAAATAAAATAAAAAAATTCCATTCATCTTCTTCCTTTCTCTTTTTCTGTTTTTTTTTCTTCCTCTTCTTTCTTCCTCAGGTCATCGAACCTAGTTTGCTGGGTTTGACGGAACCCCACTTGGGTTCGATCGAACGCAGATCTGCTAGGTTCGACGGAACCCAGCAGATCTGGGTTCGATGGAACCCATTTGCTGAGTTCCGTCGAACCCAGCTCCACTTTTTTCTTTTTTTTTTATATGATTGTTTGCCAAGAGATTATCCAAATTGCAGGTTATTGTGAGGGATTTTTGGGCAACTAGTTTTGTTATTTTGTTATACTATTGTTTGCCAAGAGATTATCCAAATTGCAGGTTGTTGCGAGGGATTTTTAGGCAACTGGTTTTATTTTTTTGTTATATGATTGTTTGCCAATAGATTATCCAAATTGCAGGTTGTTGTGAGGGATTTTTGGGTAATTGAGTTCAGTGAATCGAGCTGGGTTCAGTGGAACCTAGGTCGAACTCAGCTCTACTTTTTTTTTTTTTTTTTTATATGTTTGTTTGCCAAGAGATTATCTAAATTGCAAGTTGTTGTGAGCGATTTTTGGGATTTTTTTTTCATATTTTTTAAGTATTATCTAAATGATTTCAATCTTGAAAATGGAAAGAATATCGTCGATGGAAAGAACAGTAGCAGTAACTGATGGGCAAAAAAGCAATTGTTAGTGGTGATGTGGGACCCATTTGGACGAATTTGGCACATTTTGGCCACGGTAGCATGACATGGCAAAAGTTTTGTGCATATCATCACTTTTTTAAATTTTGCTCTCCACATCATCAAAAAAAATATAAAAAATACCATATAGGCAGAGTTAACGACCCAAATTAACAGAAAGACTAACGGAGTGCATTTCGTATAGTTGAGGGATCAAAAAGTACAAAAATTTGTTGAGGGACCAAAAATGTGCATTTCGTAAAGTTGAGGGACCA